CCCCCCCATGGACGAGCTACATTTTGAGTGTTCCTTAGCTATATATGTGAAGTGGCCACCATTTTTGACTGTGCAGGTCTAATGCACAGATGACAGCTACTACTATTAGTTGTATTCTTCATGTGCTTTTCTAAGACAATATGATGATTTTCTGAAAGGATTATAGTAGAGATGGTACGTAACAAGGAGCTTAGCCCTGAGCAACTAATCAGTAAACACTAGTGATTATTATTATGAATTTTTACTGATTGTGTTGCTTGTGCTTTTTAATTTTTAATCCATTTTACAGTTCCAGAAACATTGGAATACCGTTAAAAAGTAGCCCATAGTCCATGTCTCATCCTGAATAATTAAACATAATATTATTTTTGAGTTTATTTGATGTGCAGTAATTTCAATTTCTACAGTGTTTCTTAGACATTGTTATACCAGTGACCAACCATATACTGTTTTATTATTTTTTTACTTTATTTTTTATTTTAATTCCAGCATACTTAACATACAGTGTTATATTAGTTTCAGGTGTACAATACAGTGGTTCAACAATTCTATTACTCGACGCTCATTAAGATAAGTGTACTCTTAACACCCTTCACCCACCCACCTCTTCTCTGGTACCATATACTATTTTAAATGGCCTTCCTCAGGAAGAATTCCATACCTTTATATAGGCAGACAGTGTTGATTTAAGCCATACAGGAGAGTAAAGGAATGAACATAAGCTCCACAAAGGATCAATCATCTTGTCCACTGATGGATTATAAGTGTCTCAACCACTGCCTGAAGCGTAGTAGATGCTCAATGCATATTTGCTGAACTGAATAGAATGATCAGAACTCTAGGCATTACAGAGAACTTATTACCTACATTCTGTTGCTCTTGTTGGCAGAAGCCTGCTATCTGAATGTTTGGGACACTATATAAATTAGAAGTTAATAATTGTGTGACATGGGGTGGTACATTTCATCAAAGGGTGCCCTTTAAGGACTTCTTGTTAATTTTCAAAGCTTCAGTATTGAGATTGATGCATATAGATTTACAACTAAATGACTGATGGTGTTGGTGAAATCTTTCAACATTCAATACGTTTCTTTATAAATTGTTCAAATGTTCCAATTGTTCAAATGTTCCTGTTTAAGAGAAAGCAGAGCGGGGGCACCTGGGTGGCTCAATTGGTTAAGCATCTTACTCTTGGTTTCAGCTTAGGTCATGATCTCATGAATTGTGGGATTGAGCCTCTGCGTTGGACTCTGCTCAGCAGGCAGTCTGCTTGGAGATTCTCTCCCTCTTCCTTCTCCTCCCCCCACCCCACACACACTCACTCTCTCTCTCAAATAAAATAAATAAAACTTTTTTTTTTTTTTAAGAGAAAGCAGAGGTTCAGTTTCAGGCCCCACTATCATAAGGAAAACACAGTTTTACATTCTCAATCTATGGTTGTTTCAGGAAAACAGAATATTTTCATGATATGAATTCAGGAAGAAAGACTAAAGATACAAAAGTCTTCAAGATGCCCCAGGCAACCATTTTCATGTCTTCTGTTTAGACTCATGGTCCATCTAACTTCTACATGCATTAACAATAGATTTCATGTTTCTACTGTCGTCCAGATTTCCTTTTAGCAATGTAATATCTTCTTTTGTAGAAGAAATTATATCTGGTAGCAATGACAAGCAAGGGATAAATAAATCTTTAATAAAACAATATTTGTTGATAAACAACTCACATTGGGATACCTGCTTCTGTTGATACATCAGGGGAATTGAAACAACACATACATTAGCAAGAGCTAAGACGCAACTAGAAAAAGTAACATGGAGGTGTCTCCCCCACAGCAGGCAGAAAACTGGCTTCTTGGGTCTCCTCCCAGACCTCCTACTTGCCCTGGGTTAATGATGATGAGATTTAACTGGAATAGCAATATGTCTGACATATGGAGGTCATGCCAAGGAAAGAATATCTTGTGCTAATGGTTTTACAAAATGCTTGAAGTAGCGGAGGCCTAAGCATGTTGACCTTTCTCTGTGAGCTTTTGATCAACTAGCTGGAAAATTGGCTTAGAGCTCTAATTATGAGAGCAATGAGGAGTTTTAATTATTTTCCAAAGTAGAGAACAAATATCCTGAACCAGATTTACATCTTATGAGATCCTTCTGGAGAAACAATATTTCAAGAGATTTAACCCAACTACTTTCTAAAATTACAGTCAGTCTTGTTACTACTTAAAAATAGAAATAAATACATCAGAAATATTCTGCCTGGAATAATAAATGTTGGTTGGTATTAAGGATGACTATTTTCTCAGGTCCCAATATGTCATGGGTCATGACAGGACTCAATGGGAAAGATAAAGGCACAGAAGAAATGTTAGTTACCCATTCTCTCAGTGAATATTTATTGCATGCTTACTATGGAGCAGACACTATTCCATCGCTGGGGAAAGTGACAGAACAAAACATAGAACCTGCCATTTTGGTGTTATAGTTCAGAAGGAAAGATAGGCAAGAGTAAAAAAATGTAAATATATAATGTATCTAGGAATGATACATGATATGACTATAGTGGGGAATTACTTTCTTTTTTTTAATGAAAGACACAGTTTTAAATAAAGTGATCAGAAAGGAGGGTTAACAAATGAACAGAGATCAAAGAAGGATGAAAATGTCTATAAGAAGATGATTCCAGGGAGCAAATATAACAAAGGTGCTGTTGGCAATGGTGTGTTCAGTCTGTTTGAGGAAGAACTGGAAGGCAGATGTGGCTAGAATAGAACAAGTAGAGACAAAAGTAATAGAAAATGTTACAAATGACCACAGTAGATACTGTTTCACATTGCTGAACACTGTTCTATTTCCTTATGATTTCCTTTTCAATTGGCTGGCTTCTTTCAATAAATCTTTCATAGAATATAAAGAAATGCTTTTCCTTACACTAGCATTTAAAAAATATCTGCGTTTCACAGTAAAACCTAAGCGCATGACATTTTCAGAACTGACAGATTAGCAAGATAGCCAAGGGCCAATCATGGAGGGCTGTGTATAGACTTTGGATTTTATGATGCCTTTGTTGAAATACTGGTAAGAAGAATTTATTTTAGCTGAGTGGTCCATTTTTATTCTAGGAAGGACTTTTTCTGTTAAGAGAGAGCCCACTGGGGGTGCCTGGGTGGCTCAGGCAGTTAAGCGTCTGCATTCGGCTCAGGTCATGATCCGGGGGTCCTGGGATGGAGCCCCACATCTGGCTCCCTGCTCAGCAGGGAGTCTGCTTCTCCCTCTCCCTCTGCCCCTCCCCTAGCTCATTCTCTCTCTGTGTGTGTGTGTCAAATAAATAAATAAAATCTTTTTTAAAAAAAGAAAATTAAGAAAAAAGGAAAAAGAAAGAGCGCACTGGAAAAGTTTTTCCTACCATGGGACTCAATTTACCTGATCCTCCACAAGCCCCACATCCACTCCCACTAAAATAAAAGTTGTAAAGAAGGGGATTTCCAAAGTGCTTGTAATTTATCTTGCAGTGTCAGCCTTTATTTATGTTTCTACTGAGGAAAAACCATACCATATCATATAAACTTTAGTTTGTAACACATGAAATTTAATAATTTTTTTTTAGTCCATGTTGCAACATAGAAGGGAGGATGTTGGTTCTGAAAGTTTCATGTACTTATTTTTTTTTTTTACTGTAAATTGTAGATATTTTGAAAATGCTAGTGGAGGAAAAACCCTTTTAAAAATATTTTCATGAAAAATTTGTTGAATGAAGCCAGACAGTTGAAAAGGAAAAAAAAAAAAAACGACCAGAAGCCTTTTCAGCAATACGCAGCACTATCTACTTTGGTCATTTGTAAATCTTGAATTCACCAAAGATGATGTGGCTTAACAAATTCATTCTGTAATGGTGTGCAACACTTCTTTATTGATTGTAGTAGTAAACGTTGATAGAAAAAATACGTTTTCTGAAGTGTTTTTCTTAATAAAATGTGTCAGTCAGTAATCTGTGGTAGGAATAATACTTCAACCAGGCCCTTCAATTTAAATATTTTAAAATATGATTTTTAACGGGTACCACATATTAGATATTAGCTATTGATTGACACTTTCTATAGCAAATCAAAAAGCCTTGAAAGTGAAAATGTAAAATCAGTAATTCTAGAATGTGTAAGATTTAGTTTGATGTTCAGGCTTAGCTGAACTGCATCTGCTCAATCCAGTGTATTTTTCTCCCTTGATATTCTGCATTATACCTTTTGAATATTAATATATTATAATCTATGCTGCATTAAAAAAAGCTGTGTTTACTTTCTTGCTTACCTTAGATTGTTTCAGTCTAAACTCCTTCTCTCTCTGCATTCTGTACTGGTCAATTTCTGCCATAGCTTCTTCTTTAGCTTGCTTCAATCGCTTCTCTTTTCCTGAATATTAACAGTGGCATAGAAGGAATGATTTTTTTTTTTAAATAGACATGGAATTTCAAACTTGATTTCTAAAAAAAAAAAAACAAATAGGTGAGGTCTACATTATTTTCTTGACAAATTTTCCTAAAATAGCAAACTTCATTAAAAAACAATATTGAAAAATACCTTATTTTTTCAATTGGATTTTTCAGAACATGGAAATGACAACTTTCTTTCACACTTACGTGTTTAAATAAAATATCTGCCCATTTACTCACAGCAGTAAGAGCCAGAGAACAGATTTTAGCTGTCACTTATTCGAAAAGACATTATTTGGTCAGATTTTCTGTCCTGATTTGCTGCCAGGAATCCTTCAGCCCACACCAACTGGATCCTATTTAACACTGGCAGATCTCCAAAAGCGCTACAAACATGCAACTCAGACTCTATCAAACTGACTTACAATTTTTTAAAGCATTTTATTGGGGTTTTTTTTCTTAGCATTTGTTGACTCTAGAATGTCTGATTAAGCCCCACAGCACATCAAAGTAGGTATTTTTTTTGTAGTAGCTTTCTCTGAGGGGGACTTGAAAGTGGCCATAAAACCAATTGTTTTTAATGGTTAGGAGATTTAGTTAAATAGCTTTCTTTTCTTTTATTAAGAGCAAAGGTGTAAGCCTTAAGCCAGCAGACAGCGATGTAGATGAAAGTTTCAGACAAATACAATGCTGTAGGGATCATTAACTAAGCACATGACTTTTTTTGACAACCAGAGTAAATTTGGGGGCTTACAGACTAATATTAATTGTTGCTATGCCCCCATCCCCCACCACCTTCAGGGGGTTAGGTCCTAATGCTTTGTGATCATTAAAGAAACTCTGAACTGTATTAAATTTTTTTTATCTGAATCTATTGTCTTTTAATTTCAGTTAAATGCCTTCATTCTTTTGCTTATTTAACATTCTCTGATAATGTCTCAAGCTTTTGTTTATAATTTTTGTCAACTGTTTGTTATATTGTGTAGACTTTGAACAAAATGTGTTCTCATTAAGTAGCACAAAGCAAAATCTTAGCATAAACTTCTGTCATCCACGTACATGTTTTTATATGCCTTTATTTTTATATATCTTTGTAGCATTTGAGTGTAAATAGTTTCTAAATTTCTCTCCCTGCTAGGCATGAGTTGCTTTGCTAGTTGCCTATATATATATTCTATTTATTCTATAAAGATAGATTCACTGAGTTATAAATTGACATGTGTCTCTTTTAATGCCTATTGTCTTTGAATAGGACTGTGTAAACCTCATTCAAAACAGATAGTTAGCTTTGTCTTTACTCCCTATAAAATCCAAGATCTGGTGAAATTTAGTGCTCTTCTGATGCTTGAGGCTTAATGGAACATTAACAGCAATGCTTACCTTTTTCCTACTTAATGAATGCTCATTACCATTTTGTATATACAGATGCCTTCCTTCTCCACATTTCTAACCATTTTGTGGCATCCAAACACATACTATTCACAGAACAAATACACAGTATGTTGGGAAGGGAAACTGTTCCTTGATCCCCGGCTCTCTTTCTTATCACTGCTTGTCATTAACATTAGGACAAAAATATATTTAAGGTGTATTAACATTTTCTTAGTAATAATGGGTTGTAAGATACATAATCACTTTATAAAATAAATTACATGAGACATCACTACTTCGCCATGTTAATTACATAATATGTAAAAACATTGGTTTCAAAGTCACAACTCTAGGACATGGAAATAATAATAATAATAGGAAAACCTCTGCATGCCCTATCCCTGAGCAGAATCCAGGGCGCCACTTAAAAGGGTGTCTATTAGCTCTGCCACACAGTGATCGGCTGAGAGCGGGTCTGTGATTCCCCCGTCATGGCACCAGTCACCTGCTGGTTCTCATTCAGTTAAACAGGAGGGCCGCGGGGAAATCGCTGCTAGCGCAGCCGTTTTCTGGACAGACTCAGCAGCTGCTGCTGCGTGAGAGCCTGCCTAGGCTACACCTGATTTAATCCAGGGCAAGAAACTGGAGCCTCAAGCCTGCAGTTTCCCTCGAGGTGAAGCAAAATGCATGCATCAGATCAGCTCCTATTAACCTCTAGCTTGCTTCTCTGTCTTTGTATGAGGATTTCCAAATTTTAATATTATACCTCTTTCTTCTTAAGCATTAAAAATATGGCTACTGTATCCCAAGCGGCGTTTAGGTTTATGTTCTTATTTCTCAATACTTTCTGTAGCAAACAGAGGGGTGACCATATGCGAAAGCCCAGATTTTTAAATATGACAATCAAATATTTGGTCCCCAAATTCTTACAAGGTCGTATATGCTATGAGACCAAATGTTCTAATGTTTGGTTTAAAAAATGTGGTTATCTTTTGCATCATGATTTTGAATATTACTCAAGCAGGTGCTCCAGAGTGGGGCAGGAAAGGACTGTTTTGATTCGTCCATCCATTTTTCATTCCACGTGTACTGAACACCTACTATATATTCTGCTACAGAGGGTAGAGAAATGCGTATGATATGGCCCTTGCCTCCAGTTGGCATAAAGTCAGTGTAATTTGGAAATGTGTACATGATTTCCGGCTTCCGAGAGGAAACTATAAAATACATAAAATTGTGAAGAATACACATAATGAGTTACAAAAACAATGGAACGTATGTTTTGGTTCTGTTTCTTCCATGGCAGGTAAAAACCACAAATTTATGGAAATTAGCATCATGTCTAAATTCTAGACAATCTGTGCTTGCCTTTCATCCCAATAGTCGTGTTATGTCTTATGTTATTAAGGTAAATCAAAAATATAAACAACGGAACACAGATATGTAGAGTGGTGGTCAGAGGAGGCTGCCAAGGGAGGTCAGGGAAGAACTTCTGAGGAGGGAATGATTGAGCTGAATGGACTTTTTAAGCAGGACAGCAACGGGGACAAATAGTCCATTTTGGAGATTAGAACAAGGCACAGTGACCCTTTCTAAGATACTTTTGGACATTCTTTGTAAACAGCTGCACCTTAATAATGCATTTCATTTTTAGACATGCGGCTTGTCATGCAAATATGTCTTACGTTCAACATGCCCTTATTGAGATATTTTACAGGAAATTCTATGGGAAGGAAAGAGAAGGAGAGATGTTTGATTTCCAGGGGATTTGTGGGAAAAGAATGAAAAAATCAATTTGGGCAGGTTAAAACTGAACTCCATGTGGGAGTGAGGAGGGTGGTCAAGGCTCAAGGATGGACTCTTCCTGGCTTTGTGGTTAGGAGATGCCAAGTGAATTGAGTATCCCAAATGCAAATGAGCCCTTGAGACACAGGGAGGCCCATTCTGTTGACCAGATTGTTAAATTGGTTCTGGGATCTTTTTGTGATTAGTGTACAGCTAAAATGAGATATTAGAAGCCTTGTAACCTTGAGCTAGTTAGTGCGTCTGAGCCTGAGTTTTCTCAATCACAAAACAGATTTAATAATCTACTGCAATGAATCTTTATATGTATTAGGAAAAAATATAAATAAAATGCATAACAAAGAACAGCTATTTGATTATTTTTAATCATTACTAGGAAAATAAGCCCAATTTCTGGGGACTTTTTGTTAGGAATAAAATCAATGAATACAATGTGAGTTTGAGGAACAGTCCTCCGGCTGTCACTAGAAAAGCCTCTGTAGGCTTCCCTGAGGACATGCAAGTGGAGGTATTGAAGGCATCTGGACAGACAAGTTTGGATCCAGAAGCAAGTTTTGAAATGGAGACAAAGATCTGCATGTCGGTCATCTGGGTTTGTGTAGGTGCTTGTCATAGCAATGGGATTTGGACTGAAACCAAGGGAGTGTATACAGAATGAAGAGAAAAGAGAGCTAAGGTCTCAGTCTGGGGGGATGCCAACATTCAAGAGATGAGAAAAGGAAGAGGACCCTCAGGAGGAGCCTGAGAGTTAGCGGTCAGAGAAGTAGGGGAAACCAAACGAACATTCAAGAAGGATGTGGCCTACAGAGTCAAATGCTGCAGAGAATGGAAAAAAGAGACATTTAAACAACCAATGTTATCGAATATCCTCTATGTGCCACACGCTGTTTCTAGATCTATAAATACAGCAGTGAAAACCATAAACAGACAAACTTTCTCTTCTCATGGAGCTTGTTTCTGAACACATTAAGGGGAGCTAGAAAACAGGTAGTGTATGATATGATAGAGATAATAAGTACCAAGAAGAAGAAAGAAGGAGCCTAAGGGATAGAGAGACGGTGGGTGTTAATTTAGGTAAGTAGTGTCTTTTGGATGAAGAGATATATGAGCAGAGACCTGAAGGAATAAGACAATGAGCCATGCAAATATCTAAAGGGGAAGGGCATTCCAAGCAGAGGCAACAGCAGATGCAAATACCCTGGGTATGTGACATGCTCGAGAAACAGCAAAAATGCTGTCACGGCTGGAACAAAGCGAATGAGATGATTGAATGTTAGGAGATGATATCAGAGAGGTAGCACTGACACCAGGTCACACAGAGCTCCTGGGGCATGATACAGTGTTTGTTTCTTGAGACGCTAAATTCATGAAGGGTTTTTAGCAAAGGTGTGGCATAATATTATATATGATTTAAAAGGATTTCTTTGACTGGGTGTGGTGAGAACAGATTGTAGGGGCAGGGGAGACATAGGAAGACCGGTTTGAAATCCACTGCGATAGCTCAGATAAATGTTAATGATTGCTGGAAAGAGTAAAGTAACAGAGGAGTTGGTAAGAAGTTATATATACTTTGAAGGCAGAGTCAATGAATAAACATGAGAGACAGAGATAAGGCAATGGTGACTCTAACATTTAATTTTGGGAGTAGAGTCAAGAATGTAGTTTAACTGAGATGCTTATTAAACATCTAGTGGCAATGGTGAGAAGGCTGATGTTTACATGAATTTGGAGATTGAGGAAGCAATGAGGGCTGGAAATACCAAGTTTAGGAATCATCATTCATGCAGCTGGTGTTTAGAGCCATGG